GTCCCGAGATTTCTATTATATATATCCGCCCTTGTGCCTATGATATTGATTATATTCAGAAGAATTCAGTGAAAATCCTCCCAGAATCGGTTTGTGATGAGCACTTTGTTCAGGGAATTTTTTGTATTTACTGTTCTAAATAAAGGAAAACTATAATTCTAATAATTACTTTACAAGACTGAAGAGGAAAACAATCTAATTTGGGCAAGAATACCAGTCCATCAATCAAAATCATAGAAATATGAATACATGTTATCATATTATCTCCAAAAATTAGCTTGGGCATCCGAGAGTTAAATACACATAAGTTTTTGAACATAATTAAATCTACGATTGATATAAATTAGTAGCATATTAATTTATTGCTTTAAAAAAGCTTTCATAAAATTCAGAGATAGGCGCCTCCATTCTGTCCTGTTCCTACTCCATTTTCACTCTGATGAGAAAAAACATCAACTTTGGAGTTGGAATTGCCTATCTCTGATATCAACCATTCCAAAATACTTACTCTTCAGATCCTCCTGAACATATCCATAACATGCGAGCTTACATAAGACTTCTCAGAATAAGTACTACATAAGGATTATAACATGATCCTCATAGAAGATACTCATTATTTTTATATTTTCAGATTTTGACAGAGTATCTTATTTAGTCATCAAGATTCTCTTTGAGGACCCTAATACAATGGTTTGAAGATGGTGTTCATCAAAAGTTAAAAATAGCATTTTAGAACACTTTCTGCCTATCCCATTATCATCGCCCTTTTCCAAAGCCATAAAATCCATAGATCCCAATGTTTGTCGCTGGAGAGCTCCGTTAGGATTGACATCCATCTTTTCGACATTTGCAAAAGTAGAAGCTCTCTCAGATTACATAGATTCGCATGGAATCCTCTCAACTTTGTTCAATTTCGCCTGTATCCAAACCTTCTCATGATCTTACTCAGAGTAAATCCCGGTTGTTCTTCGAACAGCTTCACATAATTTACCAAAAGTCTATGCAAATACTTAGGAGATTCTTCGGCAGATCTACATTCATCATACAGAAAATCATGTATCCTTAAGGTTTCCTAAAAAACATAGGGATTAGGTTTGATATTTTGTTGTTCAACGATTTGATATTCTTCTCACAAGATGCAGATAGAATCTTCTCTGATGTTCATATAAATGATCATTCTGCCAAAAAGATTCGAAATTCTTGCAATTCTGAAAAAAATCTTCAGATCCTTATGTTTTTCTATCAAAAACTTACATGGAATTAGTACTGCTCTTTCTTGGAGAACCTCCTTACAGCAATCTCCAGGTGTTATTTTTATGATCAAAAAGATCTTGGCAAGAACTAGAAGTAACATAGATGTAAGAATTCTTACCAAATCCTTTTCTCTCATAAGAAACTAGGAAAAGACTTCTGAATTTTTATCTGTGGAATGAGCATTCTCAAAGATGAATGTCATATTTGTAGCGCTTGCTCCCACGAGAGACGAGATCCCTTCGACAACGACGATCCCTTTTCTTTTTCGTTCATTGTAGTAATTCCTAATATTCCAATCGATGCCCGATGGACACAGAAGGGAGTGACCGTTGCTGGAGGTCATGGAAAAGGCAATGCCACCAATCAACTCAACTACCCTTATGGTCTCTTCATTAATGATGATCAAACGATAGTCATTGCTGACTGCTTGAATCATCGTATCATCCAATGGAAGATGGGTGATACGAATGGACAAGTGGTAGCTGGTGGCAATGGCCAAGGAAATCGATTGAATCAATTGGATCGATCAACCGATGTATTGATCGACAAAGAGACGGATAGTCTCATTATTTGTGATCGATGGAATCGACGAGTCGTTCGATGGTCTCGTCGTAGTGGGACAACTCAAGGAGAAATTCTCATCGACAACATCTGGTGTTATGGATTAGCCATGGATGATCAGAGATATCTCTACATATCTGACACCGACAAACATGAAGTAAGACGATATCAGATAGGACCCAAGAATGGAACTATCGTGGCTGGTGGCAATGGCAAAGGTGCTGGTCTCAATCAATTCAACTATCCGACCTACATATTTGTCGATCAACAACAGACTGTCTACGTGTCAGACAGGGACAATCATCGTGTAATGAAATGGAATAAAGGTGCAAAAGAAGGAATTCTCGTCGCTGGAGGTCAAGGCCAAGGGAATGCTCTGACATAATTGTCGGATCCTGGTGGACTGTTCGTCGATACATTGGGTACCACCTATGTGGCAGACTCGAATAATCATCGAGTGATGCGTTGGCCTAAAGGAGCGAAACAGGGCACTGTCATTGTGGGTGGAAATGGTCAAGGAGAAGGAGCAAATCAGTTCAACTGTCCCGTTGGTTTGTCCTTCGATCGACATAGCAATCTCTATGTCGTCAATTTTAATAATCATCGTGTTCAACGCTTTTCAATTGAATAGACTCGTCGTGATAGATATTTTGCGTCCCTTTCGTTTCAAATAAATTGCATTGGATTGATGAAACGAATGTCTATTCTATTCGCACGCGCGCGACCAGGAACCATTCTGGTGGAGCCGTGGCGAGCGTGTGGGTGTGGGTGTGGGGTGTGAGGTGTGGGTGTGGGTGTGGGGTGTGAGGTGTGGGTGTGGGGTGTGAGGTGTGGGTGTGGGTGTGGATCTTTACCTCAATGACACCCACACCCACATCCCAGCCACACCCACACCCCAGCCACACCCACACACCCACACATCCACACCCACACCCCACCCACCCCACTCAC